TATTTATAAAAATTCTTTTTAACTAAATTAGTATTTTTTCATCTACTAGTTTCAAACGATTGGAATCAAACATTGGAACAATAATTTTCTTATTACCGTCGTTGAACAGCCGACCCAATTTTTTGGGTTTACGACGATTAATTTTCAACTCCGTTGCCCTGTAACTTTGACTCCAATCCAGAAGACAAGGGAACTGTTGGAACAAGTATAGGGAGAAATTTGAATTCGTGGAAGACTTTTTCATGGAACTACTCCGCATTTGTGTTACATGGAAAGGAAATCCATGAAAATTTCCAATGGTTAGCCTCACTGCAAGGGAACTCTAACCCATGATCAGTCTACCACCGGTTATATTTTACGTCAGCATAGTGGTCGGCGCAAGCTGGATGCGGATTTCGTATCGACCAGCCATCGCTAGGATTCGAACCCGATTCACCTCATTAGACGGCGAACGCTCTATCCCTTCTGCCACCACCGCTCCGGAACAGTAATAGAATATTTTCAAACTCAGATAGAAAGAGATTGCTCATGTCAGCGAAATTAAAGTTGTTTGAAATAAACCAGCATTCCAGCAATCGCTGCTTCAATCCAACAGAAATAGTTTTCTGTACTCGACATTCCTTCTTCTGACTGAGGAATTCGAGAACAACCATTAGAGAAAGAAAAGAACTCACGAAATATCACAAAAAGAATTAGGGGAGTGATGAATTCCAGGTACTTAGAGACAAAAATTTATTATTCTCGAAATATATAGTAAATGTGTACGGCTTTGAGAAATGTGTAAAAAAGAAATATTGGTTTCTATATTTGAAATAGTGAAATAAAACTACGATATAAGTTTTAACTAATGTATTGTTACTGTCATTTGCTTAAAGATAACTTTAAAAAAGTTACTTTTAATATTATATATCATGAAAAATATAATAAAGCTTTGTAAAACATTAAAAAAAACTGGAACTTATTGTTCTCTATTTAAATAAGTTTACTGAAGGTGACATTGCAATTTTTTGAAACTTAGAAATTCTGTCTTGTTCAGATATGTATTATTAAATTTAGTACAGTAAAAATAAGGTTCGAACTTGGTTTCCAAGAAAAAAACTCTATCCAGTTAAAACCAGTTAAGCATCCTCCTCGAAGTAAGTGGTAAAAAGATGCATAATCTCACGTGTAGGAATTTGAAACTACTATCTATACTGCTATCTACGCAAAAGTGAATCATTAGACAATAAAGTATGAATCACTATTTTGAATTCAAAATAAAAAATCTTCATTTAGATCTTAAAAATCTTTCATTGTACGCAAATAATTATAAAAACCGACTAGAGTTTATAAATATTAAATATGACATCATTTTAGTTACGTTTTTTTATTAAAAAGTGCAATAAAACTAATGAAAACGCATCTTTCTAAATAAATCTTTTGATTGTAATATCTTTACGTGTAATAATAATATGTTCTGCTTGATGATCAAATTACGTTTTCAATACATTTAGAACCAGTTCATATTTCCGTTATCTTGAATTCATAAGCTCTCTCTATTCTCGGGCATTTTAAATTAAACTCTGATCATAAGTTTGATTTAAAAATTAAAATAGTGTTTCAATTTTTTCCCATTTTCTCTGTTACGCATTCATAATATGCCTTTACAAATTATGATCATTTGAAACCAAAATTAGTGTTTCTTATTCATTTATCGTGAGTTAATTCTTCTATTTTATTTATAATATAAAATTCCCATTCTCACATTACGATCATTATGTTTTGTTTAAAAACTAGATCAGTGTTTCAATTTCTTTTCATTATTGATTCATGTTTTCTTTAGCGCACGTTAATAATATACATATACCAATTATGATTATTTGAAACAAAAATTAGTGTTTCTAATTTATTCGATATGAGTTCATATTTCCATCTCATCTATAATTTGAAATTATCATTCTCTCATTAAGATCATATGTTTCGTTAAAAAATTAGATCCATGTTGCAAATTTTTTTCGTTAATGATTCATATTTTCTATCTTACACACATTCATAATAATTTACACATCATGGATATTTGAAACCAAAGCTAGTGTTTCTAATTTATTCAGCGTGAGTTCATATTTCCATCTCATCTATAATGTGAAATTCGTATTCCCACATTAAAATCATATGTTCTATTTAAAAATTAGATACGTTTTTCAATTTTTCTATTCATGATTCATATTTTCTTTCTCACACATTCATAATATTTATTTACACATTGTGATCATTTGAAACCAAGACTAATGTTTCTTATTTATTCAGCTTGATTTCGTATTTCTATCTCATCTGTAATATGAAATTCGTATTCTCACAATATGATCATTACGTTTTGTTTAAAAATTAAGTCTGATTTTTAATTTCTTTTCATCATTGATTCATATTTTCTTCTGCACACATTCATAATAATTATATACCAATTATGATCATTTCAAAGCAAAATTAGTGCTTCTAATTTATCCAGCGCATATTTCCATGTTATCTATAATGGAAAATTCTCATTCTCACATTATAATCATACATTCTGTTTAAAAATTAGATCAGAGCTTCAATTTTTTCGTTAATGATTCATATTTTCTTTTGCACACATTCATAATATGCATTTACACATTCTGATCATTTGAAACTAAAACTAGTGTTTCTAATTTATTCAGCGTGAGTTTATAATTCATATATTCTGTTTAAAAATTAGATCCGTGTGTCAATTTTTTTCATTAACGATTCATATTTACCTTCGCACCCATTCCTAATACAAATTTACACATTATGATCATATTTTCTGGTTCGCCAGTAAAATCATTGTTTCCTTATTGCTAATTTATTAGTTAATTTTTTATACGTATTCACTCATTATGATCGCATGTTCAGTTTAAAAATTAGATCATTCTTTCATTTATTTTCATTAATGATTCGTATTTTATGTCTCACACATTTATACAAATTAACATATTATGATAAGTTCGGTTTGATCAAGCAAATCAGTGTTTCTAATCCACTTATTACTAGCTTATATTTCCATTCTTACCTCTTCATAATGCGCATCATTCACGCATTGTGATCATACGTTTATTCAAAAATTACATCATTTTTTTCTATTACTTTTTCTCTTAATGTCGTTTTCCTTTACTTTTCCTTCATTTCTTTTCCTTCTCATGCATTTTCAAATGATAATCATACTTTAAATTTGGAGATAAAATTATTATATCTAATATATTTATTATTAATTTATGCATTTCGTTTCGCAAATTTATTATACACACTTGCACGTTACGAGATTCGATCACTGCTTAAATTCCTACATTGTTAGTCAATTTTTGCTGTTTATAATAACGACAGTCTTAGGTGAGCCCTGGCCTTCTCCAGAAGTTTCCTCTGGTATCTCTACACTTGGTGACTTTTCTCCTGTTTTTTACCCTAAGAATGTTTACGTCATTCTCAACACAGTAGATCCATTTTAGCGCTTTGGATTTTCTCTTTTGTAATTTCAGATTAATTCTTAAGGAAAAAATTACTCATATAGAATTTTTTTTTTCACTCTATTTAAAAATTATACGATTTAAGGAAATTTTGTAGTAAAATTAAAATAAAGTGGTATTGGTAAAGTGGTACTATTAATTAAGTAAATTTTTTAACTAACCGCTAATAAGACTTTCCAACATAATTTATATAAATGTTATTTCAATGAAATAAAAATTATATCAATTTTTTGCTGTTTAACAAGTTAGCAAGGACATTTATTAAAATTATATTTTAATCAATACTAAGTCTTAAAAATATATGTATTTGGATAGTTTTGCACGTAATTAAATTTACTTAATTTATTTTTCGTGAAATATATTTAAAGTATATTATTTTCATATTTAATGTTTACCCAAAGAATGTTAATGAACTCTTTCTAATTAATTAATTTTTACAAATTATAATTCAAAATATTTTTTAAATTCCTAATTCTTTACGGAAAGTAACAGTAATTTTGTTTTTGTGTAAGAAACAATTGGAGTTGCACTTTCGTCACCATTTTCAACTGTTTTCATTTTAAAATTATGTATTTGATTGAAATACGACAACTAAATAAATACGCAACTCAAATTATTATAGTAAATGTAAAATTTATTTATTTAACACCCGATTTTTTGTAGGCTGAATCGTGCTATTTTTATAAAAAATTATTGTCATAGAATTAAATTCAAATTTTATTTCAAATATAGATGCATTTATAATTTATTGAAAAATTGATTTTTATTTTATTTCTTAAAAAAACTTTCTGATTTTTAGCATTTAATTAATAATAATATTTGTTTCGGTATCTGTAATAAATTTTAAAAGAAAAATTCTCAGGAAATAAGCATTCATGTAAATATGTTTCAAAAGTCTAGTGAAATGATTTTTGTTAATGGCTTATTAATAATGAATCATATAAATTTATGATCATTTGGAAAAGTTTGAGAATTTTTTTGAAATGTTTGAGTTATTTTTTTCCTACACTTTCCAAAAAAATAAAATTATCATGGAAAATGTCATTGAAAAAAAAAATAAAAATGTCATGGAAATGTCAATGTCATTGTTGCCATAATATTTCTAATATTAAAAATCAGCATGCAAAATTTAAAAAAATGTTTTGAATGAGAAGATATTTAGATAAGCGTATACATTACATTAAAAGAAATAATTCGTAAAGCATATATGGCTTAACATTT